AGGACTTACTGATTATCAGCAAGTTGAGAAGAGAAAGTAATTCAGCTGTGGGACTGTGATGGGCTTCTCCAAAATACACATTGATATCTGTTAATTTACAATGGAGAAGCAACACTGTCCTTTTAATAATAAATTGTTTTGTAGTTTATTATTAAAACCACCAGCCATTCAGAGCCAAGGGTCAATAAACAGGAGTCTGCAACGTGAAGTAGGATCTTGTGTTGATTTACTGGGCCATTACTATGTGTTAGTATCTACAACCAGGAGCACCAGGTCTCCACTGCTGCTGATGAATTCACACATGATGCTGAAGTTTCAAAACACTGAAGCCTGGGCAATGTTTTTCACAAGATGGATTGGCATTTTTAATAATTCCCAGATCCCAAACACATATGAAACGAGCCCTTGATGAGAAAGGTCTGATTACAAATAACCTGCAGAGAGATGAAAGTTCGTTTTTAATATCTGTTTTTTTAATTCTGCCTTCGACTTTCAAGAGGCTTCAAAAGAAGGCAAAGACTAGAAAACAGTTTGATTTAATACTGTTAGATGTGTGAAATAAAATGCTGGACAATAAGAGATGTAAAACAAGCAACAAGTGCAAATGACTTAAATCAAATTAAAGAGCTAATTGAAAATAATGGAATTAAACCCTTTTTTGGTTGTTGTTATTCATCTGGTTTTCAGCACTGTTTGCAACAGCATTTTTTTTTTAATTTTTTTTTATCTTCTTCACTTTGAAGAACAAACTTTCTCTGCCATGAAAGACAATGATTTTAATCAGGCTCTGAAATGTCATTCTCTGGGGATGTGGATGTTAAAATGCCAGCGAGGAGGAGAAGCACCATCAACACAAACCAGCGGGGCAGCCACGGAGTGAAGCAGCCTCGGTGTGTGGAGCTCTGATACAACATCCTGATACCAAGATCCTTCAGCTCCCATCACAGTGATCCTCACCACCACCACCTTGCCTTCATTCTCTCTGTATCTAAAGGAATTATTTTCCTTTTTGTTGTTGTAACATGGACTCTCTCAGATTCAACTGAGCAGATCTCAGACTCCAGTGAGCAACCACGAGGTATCTGCTGGTAAATCTCTGTTTTTAGAACAGATCATCCAATGTGGAGTGAGCTTTTGTTGGTTTTGTTTAAGCAGCTGAAGGGAAATGGGGGTTACATGAGGGGTTTTGGGTGTTTTTCTATTCATTTAAGCAAATGAGTGACCCCTCTGCAGTGGGATTGGTGTGACTGCAAACCTGCCTGTGCTGCAGGGAGCTGCTCATGGGTGTTCCTGCTTCTCCTGGGAGAGGAGGTGTCCCAGCAGGAACACAACTGTCCTTACAGCTCCTCACTGTCCCCCTTCTCTTCCCCTGCCCCGTGCCCTTGCTGTTCCAGGCTGATTTCTCCTTGCTCTCCCAAGCCTCCTCCTCATCCTCCTGGGCTTCAGCTCCAGGGCAGGGATGGCTCAGCAAAGGTGCATTTGCCCAAAGGGCCTGAAGGCTTCAGTGATTAGAAAAATCCTGCTGAGTAGAATCGAGGATTTTAAGGGTCTTATCAAAGTTAAACGATGATTCTGTGATTGTGGAGCACACCTGCAGGGGGATGTTACCCACAGACCTTGAATGAGGCCTGGCTTTGCAGAGCAAAATTAAACCTGTTATAAGCATTTTGTACAGAAAATGCCCCCATAAATCCCTGTCATCAGTGTTCAGAAAGTTTCTCTCATTTTTTGACTGGAAGCTCACAGAAATAACTTCCCTGTGGAGTTCAGAGCTGGGCAGCACAGCAGGCTCAGCTGCTCCTTGGCTTTAAAGGTTATTTTTGCTTTACCCCATCCTGCACAGGAGAAAACCATGTTTGGAGCAACCTGTTCTAGTGGAAGGTGTCCCTGCCCGTGGCAGAGACTGGAATGAGATGATATTTTAGTTCCTTACAACCCAACCCACTCCAGATTCTGTGATTAACTTTCTGCCTTTCTCATGGGCATCTTAATTTTAAGTCTTGCAGAAGGAGAAAACCAACTGAGAAAACACGAGGATAATCCCCCTGCATGTGGAAATGTTTTTTTTTTAAATGAAATTATTTCCCTTGTGTACTGCTACACTGCCTCTTCATTAGAGGGACAGGAGAAGTGTGTGCTTGCTCAGTGCTGAGCTCTCATGGTGTGCAGGGCTGCATAAAAGAAATCATTCCTGGTGCTAAAAACCAACCTGACACTGCTCCTTAAGTTTGGTGAAATATCCAATCAGTCTCAGTGGGTTTTTCAGGAAAAGGAATAAATAAAATAACAGTAAGGAAAAAGAAAAAAAAAAAAAAAAAAAAAAGGGGGAAAATAAAGAAGAGAGAAAACCCACCAACCCTGGTGTGTTCCCATAATAAAGGGTCTAAAAATGCCCCGCTCATTGATGCAAAATTACAGTTATTGTTTATCCTCCTTCTACTTCACACAGCTTTATACAATACACACCACGAAAAATACAAGCAAACAACCGACACATTAGTTAAGAGACCTTCCATTTTACTTTGGCGGTTCACGATAATGGAATTTAATTGTGGAAAAAGCTGAATAATTTTAGCTGAATGTCATTTGGTTCATTCAAACTGGGAATCAGGGACATTTTTAACAAAGGTTTTCAAACTTCTTTTGAAATCAGGAAGCTGCTGTGCACAGATAAGGGGAGAGGTTTGAGGATTCTCTATCAGAAATTTCAAGGTTTTTTCCATCTGCTTTTTCACATTAACTGGTAATTATCCAGAAAGGCACATAATAGTGCAGAAATGACAGAAGCTGACAAAGGTTTTCCTAAGATATGTAAATTGTCAGTGATAGGCAAGGTGCAACAGAAAGGCTTTCTACAGCACAATTATTTATGCCAGTTTCATTTGCTTTTAGGTAGCGCTGATGGTTCTACCCCACCGCCGCCTTTATCACAGGCACTGCACATTCCCTCACCACCAGCACACAGGCAAGGTGGCAAAAACTGAGCTTGGAGCTTGGTGGTCTCCTCCAATGCCTCTATTTTCTATTAAATACGTGCACAGGGGGCTGTGTGAGGAGATATTTCTGAGTTGGTTATAACCTTCCCCTCCATTCCTCACGCTGCAGAAATAAATAAAAAATGTCATCCTTCCCAGTGAAGCAGCTCCCACACAGTGGTGGTCTCAGAGCCCACCTTGCTCACATCAGCTCTTTGAGGGAGGAAGTGTTAGAGGGGACACTCAGCTGTTTGCCTCTGAGGTTCGTTAGCCCTCTCTGCTAATTGCCCAATGCCAGCAGAGCGCTGAAGCCCTTAGAGCTGCTCGGATAAAGCCCCTTCCTCCAGCTCTCTCTGTGCAGGGCTTCTCTTGATGGGTTTGGAAAGGTGGGTAGTGGGACAACCACTCTATTTGCCTTTAAAAATTCATTCTGGGAATGTAGAATCATGGAACAGTTTGAGCTGGAAGGGATCTTTTGAAGGTCATCCAGTCCAACCCCCCTCAATGAGCAGGGAAGGCCGGATTTGGGTGCTCTTAGGTCATTACTCCTCAGGGAGGAAAGATCCCCTCTCCCTAAATTGTCCACTCAGTCTCAGGAATTATTACCCAGGGCATCACAAACATGCCATCCCCTTGACTGTCCCAGCAGGTCACCAGGCTGGGCTCCAAGTCTTGAACAGGGTTCTACAAGGATATTTTAAGTCTCTGCTGCACAGGAAGAAGGATTGGGTTTTGATAAATATTCCTTTGCCAAAGGAGAATTTGGACTTCTGCGTCTTTCTGAGAACTTAATTCTTATTTAAGTAAAGAGTAAGGGGCTGTGCCTGAGAGAAATTCCTGCCTGACCTCCCCCTCATTCAGCTCATACCAGAATTACAGGTTTTAATTAACCTTTCCTGGGAATAGGACTTCCCATGTAACTTCACATGTAACAAGAGGTTATAGAATCTTTAATTCATGGAAGGACTTTACCTGCTGTAGTGGCACCAGAGGAGTTATGGTGGGATAATCGCTTCCCATCAGCACCTAAGTGATGTTAAAATACCCTGATGGGAGGAGCTCCCATGTGTTTGTGTAGGTGAAATTAATTTCCTTTATGGTAATATTCCCTGAAGTTAATGGGTGCTGAGAGAAAGGACACAAGATGCAACACAACAGATTTGTATTAAAAAACCCCAATGAGATTGCATTTGAAAGTCAATGGGCTTTGTTATTAACTCTAAGGACTTTCTCTCCTATCTGGTGCTTTGTTTTCCCAAATCAGAGAGGTCAAACCCGTGTGAAAGGCTTGGGGAGGGACGGAGAAGAAGGATTTCACCTGCCAGAGTCATTGGGCTGCAAGTGGTGCCCAAGGAGTGCCTGTCCCTGCAGGAACCAGCTGGAGCTACTTGTTTTCCTTACTTTATTTCATTTTATTAAAGACAGATTTTCTTCCAGGGGCTTTTATGCCATAAAGATTCAGTAAAAACTCCCAAGAGCTTCTTGGTCAGTGCTGAACTGAACACCAGGATGTGCCAGCTCTGGGGGTTTGGGTGAAACATCCCAGCAGCTCTTTTTTGGGGGCTGCAGCCCCAGAATAGCTGATGTGCTCATGACCCCTTTTGTCCCCCATTCCTGTTAATTCCCAGGACTCCCTCCTTTCCCTGAGCAGTCCCTGGTATTGCTGGAGGGGCAAAACCAGCAGCTCCAGCTGCTGACACTGGGCTGTAGCTCCACTTAGCTCTGTGAAAGCCGAAAAAGGCATCAAACGTGCCTGGGTTTAAGCAGAAGTCTATAAATTATTAATTGCAAGAGGAAACCCCAGCTCGTGCTCAGGGGACGCCCCAGGACAAGATGAGGTGGGGGACCTGATCCCAAGCTCAGCTGGAAATGGATTTTGGGAATATGCAGGTGAATTAAATGAGGTGGGCCAGCAGCATCCTGCTGATATTCATACAGAGCATTTAGGATGTTAAAAAATTGTCTGAGCGCTGATTACGTCCTCAAACTTTCTGGATTTCCTTTGGTTTTACGGTTTTTAGGTTTCTTTTTTATAATAAAGTTTAAATTAGATCAAAAACCACCAGGCCTGTGAAGATGGTCCCGGGTGGTTTGTGCGCAGCAGAGCTGAGGACTTTGGAGTTGTCATGCACAGACATCAGGTGAGAGCTGGCAAAAGCACTTTGAAAAGGCACAAAGGCACTTAAGGACAGAAACCCTGAGGATGCTCAATAAACAATCACAGGAACAGTGCCATGAATGTGACTTTGCCATTGTTACACATTTCTGCTCCTGCTTGTAATGACATTTTGGCCACTGTCTAAATACACAGAAATGGCCTGAATGCATCATCTGGATTATCTGATATTAGTTTAAATTTTTGGGATTTTTTTTCTGCAGCCTCTTGGTAGACTTTGAACTAAGCAAAAGAAAAAAAAAAAATTAAACCTATTTCAGAGTAATTGAACTGTGTTCACATTAACTTACACTAAAATTATTTTTAATTAAATGAACTTCCCCTGTTTGTAGCTGGAAGGTACTTGTGTGAGATAAAAACTCCATTCTAATAACGCTGAGACTCACCAGCACTTAATTAGCATCACAACTCAAGGCAGAGGGAGCAGGAAGGCGAGCAGTGAGGTGGGTCTGTGCTGCTGGGTGGGATTTTGGGAAGGGATGCTCAGCCCCCATCCCAGAGCCCACCCAGCGCCGCGAGGAACGCCGGGAGGCGAAATCACGCCTAGGATTTGACACAGTTTGTGGCAAAAGCAATTATAATTAACATTATATTAAATATTAAGTCAAGATCATAAAATGTTGATTGGTACTGATTAGCTGCATAATCCATAATTAGAAATCACTGCACCCTTCAGCAGGTACTGTAGTGCCTTGCCTGTGATTTCACCGCTAAATTAAGCGAGAGTGATTCAGCTTTTGCCCTGAGTTTTACTCCTGCATTTCATTTATGGCAGAAGCACATTCAGGTAAAGAAAGGAACAGGATCTGTTTCCATTCAGGCTGCTCCTGAATTCCCCATCCTAAGGGCAGCTCCCCACCCTTTCCATGCCCATGGGGAAGTGATGGCCAAACTGCCCTTGACCTTTCTCAGCTCTGCTTTGGTTGTGTCTGAAAGATGTAGGGAGAAGCATGGATGGAGTCCCCATCCCTGGAGGGGCTCAAAATCCATGTGGATGTGGCTTTTGGGGACATGGGGGAGTGGTGGCCTTGCCAGTGCTGGGGGATGGTCACAATGACCTTAGAAGGTTTTCCCAGCCTGAATGATTCCATGACCATATGGAATTCTGTATTCTCTGAAAATTCTTTGTGTATTTCCTTACCCCAAAACAGCGACTGCAGAAGGTGGAGCTGAGGCTGTGCCCTCCTGGATCCAGCCAAGATGAAGCAGCACAAGGCAGCTCCAAGATAATGATTTATTTTTGGCCCAAACTCGGAATACCTCTCAGGACACCTCAGCAAGGAGGGAGCAAAAGGTGATTCTTTATTCTGATTTGATTTCAGAAGACCAAACCCATCTGTGCCTCACTCGTTAATGGGATGGAAATGGGGACCCTCTGGGGAGGTTGGTGGCTCTGGGCTGAGGAGCTGCTGCAAGAGGGTGAATTATTTGGGGTGTTATCAAAGCTTGCTGCAGCAGTCTTGTTTTCCCCTAATTTTATGGGTCCATTTACCCTGGATATCCATTTGTAATGGATAATGTCATCATCACACACTGTGAAACACTCAAGTTTTGTTAAAGTAAAGAACAAAGTCCCCTAAACCATGAGGTTTTATGTCTTTGCTGCTAATTTCAGTCACTGTCTTGGCTGGAGACCCAGCTGTGATTTTCCACAGTAGAGCTGGATAAAAATAATAAAATTTGGTGGATAAAATCCCAAACTCATGGCAGCCTGGCTGCTCCTAGTGGAGCTGCAGCAGCCTCTTTGCAGCCGAGCTGATCCAGAGGGACCCTCGGAGGCTGCGCTGGGCACCCGCTGGCAAACCCAGGGACACAGAGAGAAAACATTGTTGTAATTTCCTCTTGTCCGAAGGCACTTTGGAGTCCTAGGGAAGAAATCTTTTCATTCCTTCTGCTCTTATCTTTTGCTCTGATTAGCATTGTCTGGGAGTGGAGCTGAGGTTCTGGGCAGAGAATTAAATCAATTAAATCAATGCGGCCGTGACGCTCCAGTGATTTTCCCTAACCAAGGGTTGGGCCGAAAAGGAGGGAACAGGGAATCACAGGGAAGGTGGGGAAAAGCAGGAAAGCTGGGCTGAAATCCCTTTTTTCCTGTGCTGGATATCATGGAATGCAGCCCTGGACTGGGTCAGGGGGGTACTTGCACTCACACACTCATTCCCACATCATTTTAATTATTTTCCTTATTGTATTAATGACTTATTGTATTAATGACTTTGTTTTTATTTAAAGCAATACATTTTTATTTTTATACAGATATATATAAATTTATTTATATTATATATATATATATGTATATGTGTGTATATATATGTATATGAGATACATTTTTATTTTAAATTAATGTGATGGCATAGACCATCTCCATCTTTTAAGAGCTACTTTTGGCTAGTCCAGGGAATCCTCTGCTCTGCCTGAGCTCCTCGAGCAGCCATGTATCCTAAGGAGATCTTTGTTCCACTACAAAGCATCCAAACCCTGCTCACATTCTTGCAACAACCTGAAAACACCAGCAAACACAAATCTGGTGTGTTCTTTGCTGAAGTATTGAGAGTATCAGGGTTACCTCAGAGTGAGCAGCTAAATAAATAAATTCAAAAATTTAAGATTCCCATGCCATCAAATAAATAAATTCAAAAATTTAAGATTCCCATGCCATCAAAACCAAGGTATTTCCACTCCTTCAGGATTTTAATTTGAAAAAAAAAAAAATTGTAAAAAGATAGCAGCAGAATGTCCTCTCTCTGTCACCCTTCCCTGTCCTTCCTTCCTGAGGGCGGTTCTGGGCACAGGGTGCTGAATTTCTGTTATAAGACTGGGTTTGCATCTCCTGCCTGGGATGTACAGCTAATCCCCCCATCCAGCATACAGCCTTTTGGCTTCTGGAATACTAAAAATGTCTCTTTTTTTGCCTGCAGAACCAATGCATTAACTCTGAGAAGGGGCAGCAGAAGGAAAGCCTGGAGCTGGAACATCCTTTGAGCAACAGCAAAGCAAGAGAAAGCAAAAACATCCCTCTAAGATGGCTGCAAACAGAAGGTCTCTGCAGTCCCTCCTTAAGCACTAAAGATATTTTCATTTCAAAATATCTACTTAAAGGCAGGTTTAATCTCAAAACAGCATTTTCCACTTTAAAATAAAAAATCACACACACGCACACAAAAAAAAACCCACCTTCAAAAATGTCTTCAGTTATTTCTCCTTCAATTTTTTTTTTTTTTCCAATTAAATTAATTTAAACAGAGTGAAAAATGCTTTATGCCCTAAGAGCCTGAAACCTCTGGTGTCAGCTGAAATGGGCACTTGTGCTCTCAGCTTCAGCCCTCGCTGCAGGCACCTCTGCTTTGAAGCCTTTGAAGTGTTTGTGGCACAGGAAGAGTCTCTCCTCAGAGAACACCAGTTATTTTACAGACATTTAATGTGTGAAGTGTGTGTGCCTGTGTTTGGGTTTGGATAATGGGGGTTTCACAAGGCAGGTGGGAAAACAGGGATGGGATCTTGACTTGCAGAGCAAAATTGAAGGAAAAACCAACGTGAGATCATCTCTAAGATGCTTCCAGCCTTCATCAGCACCATCCTGAAGATGCAGATGAAATTATCTGACCTTCAGAGGGACCAAAATATTTTTTTAGTGCCTTTAGAATTCATTCACTCTCCCAGCACCAGGATTCCCTTTAGAGGAAATAATGCCACCAAAAAAAGCCTGGGAACACCAGGAGCAAGGGGCTGAGGATGCCCAACCCCACAGGGCAGCTGATACAACCCCCAAGCTTATTTTGGGGAGGTGATGCAAAAGTCTTGCAATAAATTTGATTAATGGCTGGGTTTTGGAGCTAATTATTTAACTCATGCAATGACCTCGCTTGTGATTTGAGAGGCAAAACCTCTGCCTGCATTTCAGGGGAGCTGATGTAAAATCCCCACCTCGACACCCACCATGGCCAATTTTGAGGCTGGTTTGTTGAAATCATTACATCTCCTTTCTTTTTTTGCAGGGGGAGGGAGCAGGGATGCCCAAAAGTTGATGCCTCTGTTTCAGAATAATCCACGTTTATTCACCATGCACTGCAATTATTCCAGCTTGTAACCAATGAGGTTTAATTAAAATAAAAATCTCAAATCAGCCAGTTCAGCCAATGTTATCTGAGCACTGATGGTTTACTGAACATCATCTCCCATGAACTGGTATTTAAATAGAAGAAAACACCAAAAAAAACCCTCTTACATCTGAAATGGAAAAACAATTCTGTTCTGTGACTTTACAGAGTTATTTTTGAGGACATGTAATATATCTTTGCAGAGTCCCTGATCTAGGAGAGGCTCTTTCCTCTCAGTGTTTGTTGCTTTTCTTAATGTAAACACAAGGAAATATTGGGTAATGGATAGGGGGAATAAATAGATAAAGAATATAGAATGAAACCTCTATTTTTCAAACAATTGGCCTTCATGCTACTTTATTTTTAATTTCTCCAGCTTTCCTGGAGCCATCCTTGACTCAGCCAAGGCCAGATGGGACTTCTTCCTTCTTTGCAGATCCTGAAGATTATAAAGCTTCAATTTACTTTTCCACAACCAAATGTTTAGTACCTGCTGGACTACATTTTCCTTTGGTATTTCTTTTTAGCAGCAGTCCCAATCTTTAACCCACTGGTTCTTTTGGGTTGAGCCAAGGGTTCATCTGATCCACCTGGAAATATCAAGTTCCAGGACATAAGAGCATCACCTGCCTTCCTGACAATTCCCAAATTAAATGCAGCACAGAATCTTGGCTATATCTCAAAAATAGGTGATTTTTATTTCCTTTAATTTAAAGAGGAGGAGAGAATACTTGTAGGAAAAAAAAAAAAAAAGAAAGATGAGAAGGAAGAGAGAAGGTCAGTGAATATCCAGTACTGATTTAGAAACAGGCTCTGCCAAGCAGGGGGAAAAGGAGCCTTTCCCAATCCATTCAGTTTATGGTTATTAGTATTGATATTGTATTTCTCTTGGCTCCCAAAAGGAAAAGTGGGGAATGAATCAGGAAAAAAAAAATACTTTTCTGTAAATAATTTTTTTTTCCAATTCAGATGTTTTTTAGGAAACTAATCTGGGGAGGGGGGAAATCTGCTTCTCAAATGTCAAGGACTTGAAAGACTAAAAATACATCACCGGAATAAATAAATTAACCCAGAAGACAGGACTGATGCTCTGCAGGCATCAGGGATTAAATAAATTCACTAAATTCAAAGTGGTACTGCAGATAAGAGCTCTTTGTGCTGCAGCATGTACAGCTTATTGATTCTGGGATTGAGGTGCTGTGCACTCTTGTAAAGGGGACTCTGCCTGATACGGCTTAATCCTGCTGTAATGCACAGCCCCGTGCTCCGAGCGTGGAGCCCGCTCCCCTCTCCCCATTTATTTTAATTTGGTTTGTGCCTTCATTTGCTGCACCACATCTGTGCCCTCTCCCCCCAGGCTCTTCCCAGCACTGAAGGGGCACTTCAGGAGGTGCTGAGCCAGCAGGATGGGGGCTGCTGCAGGAAAGGGGCCGTGGGCATCTTCTACAGGGATGGAACACCCCAGAACTTCCCTCTTCCATCGGTTTTGGGGGCACCAAGGGGACAAGGGATCACCAGCAATGCCTGGATCAAGCTGGGACCTCAGGGGAGCAGCTCCAGTGGGGATCCTGGTTCTGCATGTGCACATTTTGTTACAGGAGCCACCAAGGAATGTGTCTGACCAAGGTTGAAACATGGCCTGGACAGATATGATGAGTTTTTCTGGGTAAAAAAAAGAAAAAGTGGAAAGGTTTGTAATAAATCCCAGAGGGGCTGTTCCACCCCCAGCTGGAATGAAGTTGGGCAATTTCCAATTTACCTGTTTTCCATGGCAGAGGGTGTTTCATCCCCCCTGGTCAGATGCTGAACTGTCAAAGTCGCTTCACTCGAACACAAGAGGACATTTAATTCCTCCTTTAGAGGCTCTCCTGGTGCTCAGCTCAGGTTTCCTCCACAGGTTGCTCTGCAGGGCCAGCAGGGCTCTCCAAACACAGAACTCCATCATTTCCCAAGGAAGAAAAGAACCTCTGGAGACGTGAGGAAGCAGCTGGGCAGGGCACTGATGCTCTCAGGGTGTGCTGGTCCCCTGGGCCGTCTCTCCAAGCACCAGCACCCTCCCAGCCTCAGGGCATCCTTGGGTGTTGGCTTTCAGAATCACCACAAAAAGAGCTGATCTGGCCAAGGGGAAAGACTTTTATTATTAATTGTTGTCTCTTAGGTATGAGGGAAGAGCTCCATGGCATGAAAGAAGCCGCTGCAGGGTAACCTCCCCAAATCCCTGTATCTCCCTCAGGTTTGGCAGATCTCCCAATATCTTTCACCAAAATCAAGCTCTTAATCTCAAGACACCTCTCCTCTCCTACGTAAGGCTTCCTCCTGAGCACGATCCACAGGGCCCATGTTTCAACACCCAGGATTCATTAATATTTCCTGCAGAGTGCTCAGTAAGTAGCAAAAAAAGCAGGAAGTGTCCCAGATGTTGGAAAGAAAAAATGGAATTATTCATTGCTTACTAACATCAAATGCTAATGTGAGAAAAGCATCCTTGAAGAAATCCTTGACTAAAATTCATCAGAGTGATGTGAAATCACTGTTTTAATTATGCATTTTGAATGTATTTATTAGTCCCGGTTCTGATCTGACTTACAGATGTTTAGCAGTGATAAGGGTCTGCTGCAGCCTTCGGAATTACTCATGATTTATAATGACAAAACTTGGATCAGAATTAGGTCCTTGTCACTACTCTATAATATCCTTTCATCAAACTTCACATTCAACAGATGAAAGCGACCGTGGTTTCTGCAATTTCCAACTCTACCACTGAGCCCACGAGTTCCTTTTTTTTGAAATTTCTCCTACAGAAATGATGACTCTCACAGCAAATTTTGTCTGCTTGAGTTATACTTGCCATGAGAAACTTGAGAGCAAAAGAACTGGACTTTTTAGTGCACCAAAATGATGTGTTTGGCCTTGTGCTAGCAATAAACATGGAATTTTAATGAAGGAGTTAATTGCTTTAATTATGCAACTCTACAATCTCATTCTTTCTTATTGCTGTGACTATTTGATACATATCTAATATTGAGAGATTTTCCAAACCTGTAGGAGATCCAGGGATTTGTGAGGTTACCCAAAAGCTCAATACCAGACAACAACTGGATGTGCACAATACCAGATATTTAAAATAAAGCACCCTCTGTTCAAGAATGATTCAAAGCCATGTGGGTTTCTTTCCAAAAAATTATGGAATTTTAAACTATTGCTTGTTCTAGAGCTGATCCAGAAAGAGCAGGTCTCCAGGGATGCTTTACTCCCTAAGGCATGAATGCATGATTAAGCTAAATGTATTCCATAAATGCCTTGATGACATTAAACTAAATTTTTTAAAGAACAGATGGAGAAAGTTAATAAATATTTCATTCTATAATATAAAACTCACTTCTATATTCACAACTTCAGGGATCCTCAGCTTCACAGATATCAATAAGTCTGATGGATTTCTTGCTGCATTCTCATTCTTCTGCCCTGGTGTCTCTTATGGGATCATCATTTCTGCATGCTTGGATTGTTTTATGGGATCAGTGAAAGGCAAGTGACTGTAAATCTTGACCTCTTCTGCTCCTGGATTATATACTTTTATTCTTTGTGACCATAAGTGTTCATCTCCACACTGAATAGATAATTAAATGACAAAAATTATTCAAAGGGAATTTATAGTGAGAAATTATCCCTTGAAGAACTGATGGGGAACAGGAATAACCCAAGGAGAACCAGAAAGAAAAAAAACAGTTTAGAATGGACAAATAAAACACTAAAATTTCTGTGTACCTGGGAATGTCATGAAACATCCATTCACCAGGAAAAACCTGCTTTTACCTGCACATCCCAATTCTATTCAAGCAAAATTGCTATTAAGGGAAAACAATGTGGATATTGCTTAAGAACTGTAGCCCAAGCCTGTTATTCATATGAAAGAACTAATCTTTACATGGGGGAATTACAATTTCTCACTCTGTGTATGCCATGAATCTTGTAAAAGAATAATTAGAACTTGCTCCGAAAGGAAAGAAACGCCAGACTTGAATAATATTTTAGGAAGAGCATTAACAAACATTTTTACACTGCCAACAATCTTCAGCACTTCCTAGCAGAGATTTACATTCCATTATTAATTAA